TAAATTATAAAATAATTAAAATATTAATTTTTTAGTCAATTAAATTAATAATAATAATACTCTTCTTCTAGTTATTAACTATAATTTTAATAATACACTTTCTTACTCATAAAAAATGATAAAAAATATTTAAAAAATAACTTAATACAATTACTTTTCTTTCTTAATTTTAATAATAAAAATATTTAACTAATCTCTTATGCTAATTTTTAAAAAAACCTCATTACAGAATATTAAATAAAATTTAAAAAATTGATTATATAAAAATTATAATATTTAAACATAATAGAATATTTTAAAAATGTATATAAACTTAATAAAAATTTTAAAAAAAACAAAAGAATTAGATAGTATAGTCGATTATAATTAGGCTAAAAAAAATGAAATTAGTAGCATAGTTTGGTAATAAATTATTAATTAAGCGTAGTATTTAAGTAAATTCAAATTATATCAGTCGCAAAAATTAATTAAGTTTTTTTTTTATTTCTTACTGTTTCTTACCTCGGGGAGATGTTAACTCGGATAGAAAGAAAATAGTTATACATAGCATGGCCTTTATATCGGCGCAAAAGTTAGATAAGTGTGGAGTTTCAACAAGATCTCGACAGCACCTTATCGAATAGAACGATGACGATGTCAAAGAAGAAAAAAAGAAAGAAAGAAAAGAAGAAAAAAAAAACATTTAAAAGGAAGGAAGTAAAAATCTATGAAAGGAAAAGATGAGTCGATAAAACCGACGTCCAATATTTAAAAATTATACAGACTTGTCTGTCTAGAGGATGAAAGCTAACCAAAGTTTTCGCTTTTTTCTATAGTCTATACAGGTCACGTATATTATTTCTAAGTAGAATAGTTTAAAAGTTAGTAAATAATTCATTAAAATTTAAATATCGTGTATTTAATATTAACAGTTCTTATTAGGATAAATTAAGATAAAGGCACCTTTCAATATAACACATATGTGTTACGTTGAATACGTCGATACTCAATGGAATTTTCTAACAAATATATTTTAAAAAGCATATATTAAATTTTAAGCAGTCTCCTGACAATATTTAAGTCAATATATCATTAAAATGGAACTTTTTAAAGTGATTTTTCAATTAAGAATATTTAAAAACAAATATGAAATAACTTCAATTAAAATTGTTATTCGTTTCTCTTCAGAAATGTTCTAAACAGAGGATAAAATAACTTATCAATATGTACAAAGGGAAATACGCAGATGTTTTCATTTATAAAGTCAAATCATTTCGGAATGGCGCAACAGAAAGTCCAGAAACAGGTGGATTTCTCTTGCAAATCACTTAAAATATTCCAAAAATTTAATGGTTTATCCATAATAAAAACAATTTTTAATGACTGAATATTATTTTTTATATGTTAAATAATGCAAATTATATTTTTACTTGCAAAATAATAAATTATAAGAAAATTTTAAACCTTTGAATTATTAACAATTCAAATTTGAAAATCGAGTATTAATCGAGTTATTTTCTTCTTTTGAAGATAATATATAATATATATTTTATTTACTTTGATAATGTATATTTGGCGTGCGCCTTTGTCCGTCCAAATTCTTTTCTTTTGCTTTCTTATACACGTGTTTAGTTTTATTATATTTTTGCCAAAGTTTCTATAAACACGCTTAGATAGTGCTTAAAGTTCTTAAAACTCTGTTATTGTCGATGTCACGTAGTAGTCATCTGAAGGATAGGTACTAAGCACGTGTCGAGTGATAAATCACCAGTTATAACATAACAAAGTTTCTTTATTAAAATTAAATAATAAGACATTCTTGGCACTTACCATTTGCAGATACTTGGCTTATAATTAAATTTTGTTTAACGTAAACATTCAACAGATAAACACAAGTAAAGCAAATGGTGGTAAAGAGAGATAAACCAATAGTCACACCATCTGTCATTTGTAGAAATGCACACAATTCTCTCACTTGTTTATGCAAATCAGCAATTCGACAATTCGATATTTATGAAGGAAATTCATCAAAATTTCTTTTTTCCCCCTTAACTACATACTTCAATCTGAAATTTAATCAACAATAAGCAAATTCCATCTTAATTAAGTCATTTATTTATAATAAATACGAATAAACAAGGATAGAATTTCTTTGCTTTAATTATACTCTATTTAATTAATGTAAATATCGTTCTTTAGTCTGTTAAGTAAAGATTTTTAATATGATAAAATTTAAATGATTTCTTTATTTTATCTCATGGAATTTAGAAAGATAAATTGTATTAATGTGTAAAAATTGATATAATCTCTCCAATGTGATAGTGATATAGCGACAAAATTTATATGGATTAAAATATTAATTTTTTTTGTTTGTATTATATATAAATCTATCATAAATCAAATAAATTATTAAAATAAGCAGTTATCTCTCGAACAGGAGGGGGTGAAATAATGAGTGATGCAGTGAAATGATGGAAAACTGGATAGATGAATAGAACATATACAGTAATGTAATAGAACCGATATTAGGGAAATTCGAATTATAGCATGCAAATCCACATTCACCCCTGTACCCTGCAGCACCGTTTGTCACTAGCGCTGTGAAACTCTTACTGTGTATATGTATGTTTAAGTATTATATTCAAATATTTATCCCGTACTTATTTGATTTTTCTGAATTTATTTAGAAAGGTAAACACCCCTGGACTTCTCCCTGGTTACGCTACTGAAGAGATATAGAAAAGAGCTTATCTAGTGGCTTCATTTAAGAAAATTCTGTAAGACCGTGCCAAAAATAATGATTCAGAGAACACGTGACATGGATGAGTATAACTTTTGAGATTATTCCAACTCAAGCATTCTAAGCATCTCTTTAACCAATCTGAAGTAGTATCTGAGTGAAAGACTCCACAATCTCCAGAAGGAAGAAAAATAGTTATTATTCCGATAATACACGCAAAAAATCAATCGTGCAAAATCAACTTTAATTAGAGTTACTGTTTATGATAAAGATGTATTCGTTCTGTTACAATAATGTACAATTTTTACATGAATTTTACATCATTTTGGCATTTTCTTCATTTTAAAAATGTACCAATGATTTCAAACTGACTTTAAGCTACAATATCTGACAAAACACATTTTTAAAATATGTAAATTAATAGTAGAATATAATTTAATGTGCTAAAAACTAAAGAAATGTGGCCGAGTGGACTCCGTCTCCACTTGTTAGTGGTGACCAGACCCTAAACACCGGAGTTCGATCGGGGGTTCGCGCCTCACTCGGACGAGCTGGCAGCGGGAGTGCCTCAGCTGGCACGGGAGTTTTTTCCGGGTTTTCCTCCTTGCCAATGACGCCTAAATAGGGGCCAGCTTTCCCTCCAAGTCCTCCCGGAAGGCATTCTGTCTCCCTTTCTCGCGGGGGTCGTCTCTTATAAGACCGGCTTTGATTACTTAGTGACCTCTATCCTGTCTTCCTCGGATTGGTCGTCTTCTATAAGACCGACTCTTCCTTACTGTTTCTGCCGGAGTGAAAAGCGCATAGCTATAACACTCCTCTGTGTGATATGATATGATGATGATACTAAAGAAATGAATTTTTATTTACTGTAATAACCGATAAATATGTATTACTTTCATATTGTGGATACGTATTATTTTAATGTCATGTAAACTATACATGTGAGATTTATAAAAATTACACTCAAAATATGATTTAATAAGTAAAATATTTTATTTCCAAAGAGTACCTTCAAAATATACACAAATGAATTAAAACTATAATAATTAAGTGTAATTTATTTATCATCATGTAAAATTTCTAACGTCTTCAATTTGTTGTTAATGATATTTTGAATATCGTTCAAAGCCGCGTTTAAAACACTAGACTTTTTCTGATGAAAAACATTATGGGCATTATTTTTAATATATCTTTCAATACCTTTTATCATTAAATGCTTTCCGCCCATTCGACTCCAATCAACTCTGGCATGATCAAAATTTGCATCGGCTTCGAGATTTTTAACTTCATAATATCCTAGATTATTTACATTGATTTCTCCTTTTAGATAACATTCCGGTTTATGTACTATAACATGAAATCTTCCTTTAGAATTAATTGTAATAAGGAAAACATTGGCACGTAAATTATAGTTATCACTATCGATTCTCAGCTCGGGAATGGTTAACTTCACATAAAATGTGCCATTTTTCATGTTAACGTTAACGTATTTTTCAAAATTTGATAAACCATACAAATACATTTCATTAATTGTTAGGGTTCCATGAGAGGCTTTTTCGCTTACCCCGGGTAATTTTAACGGTTCTAGAATGGGTAGTTTGAAATTTGGCATTTCTGATCTCATCTCAGATCGAAAATCTTCTAATGCTTTTTCTATATATTCTTTAATATATTTATCTGTTGAAAAGTGAAGAATTTATTTAAATATTTTTAAAATATATAAATACAATTAAACCTCGATATAGTCCCTTCCTAAATAGGGCCAATTAATGGGCACTTTGCCTAATAAAACGGTTTTACAGTAATTATCCAGCTTATTAAAGCCGCTGGACAAAACATCGATTGAGCCCATTGATTGACACTTTACGAGAATGGTGCTAAATCGGGGTTTTACCATATGTAATTTAGTTACCCTCTGCATTTGTCTTTAATTTAGAAACTTCAGATGATACCGAAACCAAAAACAGATAGAATAATATTAAGATCAGTTTCATCTTCCGTTAAATCACTCGATTATCCTTATTTCTGCGAAGATAAAATTTAAATTTCTCTTTTAATTCTAAATTATTAATAATTATTTCCTTAAAAAGTTTCCTCCTGAAGAACTGAAATAAAATAACATTTTTCTTGTTTAAAAATAAAACTTTTTCTTAATAAACAAATTTATTAATGTCGTTTCGAGAAATAAGAACAAAAATATTTAATAAAAATAATGGAAAAAAATTAAATTTAAAAATATAAAATTTATAAAGTTTTAATTTAAGTTACAACGAAAATATATAAATTATTCTAAGTAGTAGTCTTTTTTTTTAAATTTACAGTCATTTATTAGTTTTAAACTCTAGCCAATTGTTCAGGCCATTTTAAAACTGTAACAATTTATTCAGAATTTTAACTGTTAAATCAAAATAAATAAAATAGATTTCTTTCTATTTATATTTTTGATAGTTTTGAATTTATATAACAAAAAATATTAATAATTTCTCGAGGAACCAGCACACTCTAAGCAAAATTACGCTCGGGCCTGACCCGCAAAGGGATCAATCCTTGTCATTTTCTATCCCTCATGAAAGAGGAATGTAGAATAATGAGATAAATGAGTAATACAAAGATAGATCCATCATGGATAATACATCACGCAGTAGTATCCATGATAAAGTATGGACATCTGGACAGGATTCGAACTCGGATCCTCCACTGCACTAGACGAACACTTCATTGCCAAGGATTTATCGATAAATTCATTCACAAATCGAAATTATAACTATAATAAATTGTGTTAAGATCTAATTTGATTACGTCTTCACTTATTTGACATTTAAACAACTATTTTAGAGAAATTATAAGAAATATTTCTAATAAGAGTAATATTTATATAAAGAATACTATGATAATAATTTGTATAAATTTCTTACCAATTCTACCTGAAGAAGTCTATAAGAAAAGCCATAAGTCCAGGCTTATTTATAGAAAATATTGAATTTGTGAGTGAGATAAAAGTTGGACATCTGGCTATATTCGGCTATTGTAAACAAACAGAAAAATATTTGTATGGATCTGCATCTGTCTAAATATCTATGGGAACAGAAATGTCACATTTATATGTTGACTATTAAATTATACTGTTTAAGTTTATAAGAAAAGCAAATAATCTGAATTTATTTTTGTCGTTTGATATGTTTATACTTAATAAAACTTTTTATTCCTTTCCATTTATTTTATTTACAAAGAGCAAAGCATCACGTCAAAAGAAATAGTTGATTTTAGTATGGGCTAAATTTATAAAACAATAAAAAAATATACATTTTTATTTTGTAAAATCCAGAATAAATCACAATTAAAATTATTTTCCATTTATTTATCGTATCATTAAATATCAGAGATGTAAGAAATTTCATGTCCTGCAATGTTACACTTTTCTATAACTACAAAACTAATTCTAGTTAATTTATTTATAAAAAAATTGAATCAGTTTTATCTAAATGAGGATTTTAATATGTGTGCAATAAAATATACTGTACATATTCTATTATCTTACGCAATTTCCTTCAATAAAGTATCTACTAGAAGACAAGACGTTATGATGGACGTGGCCTTGCACTGAGTACATTTTTGACATTAAGTTGACTTCAATTATAAATTCATGGATCTTGAAATATAGTAAATATTATATAAAATGACAAGTAATTTTAAAATATATACGTAATTCATATAGCACTATATACATAGTGTCCTGTGATCATATCGTTAAATTCATATAAATTAATTGGAAGTCTTAAAATGCAGCTTAAAAGAAATTAAATTTAATTGCCATAATTAATTAAGTAAACGATCAATAAAGATGAGAGGATGCCAAAGCAGGGCCGAAATCGAATCCGGACGAGCAACCAAATGAATTTTTATCTGTTTTAAACAATAGGGTTTTGCCGAACCTATAATGAATATGATTAAAAAGACTCCCTCACTGTATACAGAGCGAAAAGTGTCAAAAAAAATGAAAAATAATAACAACAATAAATCTAAAGAAATGAAGAAAACAAAAGAAATGTCGTAACTTGTTCAATAACTTCAAAATATATAAAATAAATAAGTAAAAAAAAAAATAGAAAGGAAAGATTGAAGACCGTCTGTTGCTAGACCCATCAAAGACATTTCCACTTTCTCAAACTTCACTAAATTAAAAACTATTTCTTGTTGGCAGTTATAACTTTATATTCTTTTGTTAAAAGTTTTATTTTCATTTAAGTAATTGGAACTTTATAAGTTTTAACTTCTAATAATTCCAACATTCATAACAAAGACTTATCGAAAGAGAAAAATTGCAAGCAATGGGACATTTGACAAGACTAAAATATAATTCGCTTGTAGATTAATTACTGTATAAAAGTCTGAATGTTGAATATAATTAAATTAAAGTATAGAAATTATAAAAATATATATTTATAGAATAGTATAAAAATCATTTAATTAAATGGAATGTAAGTAAAATATTTTTAAAAATTCATAGTCGAATTTAAAAATTTTAAGGATATTTATATTATTTTGCAAAAATGTAAGAATACAAAATATTATTGATTACATATTAAAGTATGTAATCAATAATATTTTGTAAATTTGGTATGTAAATTTAGTATGTAAAATATAAATTATTATTGTAGCATATGAAATTTATTATCATTTATTATTTACTTAATGTTGTTGATAGAAGATAACTTGATGATTTAATAAATAATATTGTTTATAATAGTCAATAAGCTTTCTAGTTATAAGAATATTTAATGTCTGAGAATTTACTTTAATTTAGGGTCGATTCTATACGACTTTAAACATTAGGCACCACATAAATCTATCCCCCTAAATTTTAATATAACGTAATATTTGTTTAAAACCAATTGGACATTTGTCCAATTGGTTTTAAACAAGTGCCTGAAGTATATAATGAAATGAACTTCAGGCACTCACCTCTTCTCAATAATTATATATATTTACTTAAGAAGACGGATTGAATTGATGGAAATAAGGCAATGCAGCACAATATGATATTCCAAGAGAAGTGTCTTCCGTGAAGACTTTTTATGGATTCTATTTAGGTGTTAAGAATCCTTGAATTAGTGACCATTAGTCCACGACCATAATGTTAAAGAATTCATTTGATAGAGTTTGATCTTTGTTCTGCAAATAACAGGAAGAACTTAGTACTGTATTAAAAAGAACAATTTAAACTTTACGTAACTTGGAAAGAATAATTAACTCAAAGTATTGTTTCCGGAATTTCTTTCAGAATTTCGGTGAAATACTGTCAGAGTTGAAGGTGGAGAGAAAATTTAAATTTATCTTTAGAAAATGAATACAACCTCAGTTACATTAAAGAAATCTTTTAAGGTTTTAAAGAATTTTAAGATATGGATATAGTATTCGTAATGCCGAACGAGATAAAATAAATTGTTTTGATGTTTATATATTATAATTAATTCGGTTTTTTGATAGGAAAATCAGAATATTATGGGCTGTATAGTCGTTCATAAGTTTGCTGTCTAGCCTACTACTGGCCACGAGATGCCCAAGTGATTTTTTTCTTCAAGGGTCAAACCCAGGAATTTGGCCCTAATTAGAGGCCAAATTCCTGTAGAAAGTCTTCCTGGCGAACTGTCATGATTTCCCATTAAATACAGTATGACAGTAAAAATATGAAACGAAAAATGACATTTTCTTGGCAATAACTGACCATAAAACAATCACGGACCCGGATCGGATTTCAACTTGAAACCTTTACTGCACTTTACATTTTCAGTTTTAAAGTGTGGTATGCACACGTCTTTATATTATTGTTATTGTTATTATTATTTATTAAAATAACTTGAAATATACGAGTTTTAATTATTATTTGTTACTTTACATATATCTCTATAATATAAAATTTCGTTTTGTACATGTTTATAATTAATTTCTCTGATATTTAGGACATCTTTAAGTACTTAAAGATGTCTTTAAGTACTTAAAGATGTCCTAAATATCCGGGACTTACCTCCTATTATAGTTTCCTAGGGTGGCTCATCCAAATTCGATCCTGGATCTCCGGGATCGAATTTGATAAAAAAAATCCTAAATTATACTAACTAAAAGGTCTAAAAGCTGCGCTATAAGGTATCAGAGTCATCTGGTATCAGACCTCTTTAATGTCGTAAAAATAAAGCTTTGTCCAAACGGTCAAAGAGATGTTCTTTTTCATGTAAACATTTCAGTATTCGATTAATAACAAAATTTCAACAAACGAACTGTATATTAGTTTAGCACCATTGGTTCTCCATGTCAATTCGTGAGTATGTTTTACAGAACATATCATCAAAGACCAAATGAGAGGGGGTTTCTTACACACATTTAAGAGATTGCTGGTTTCAGTCTCGACGAGTGAGTTTTTTAAATGCAATTTTAACATAAAATAATTATAAATTCCAAAGATTTATGCATTATTTATTTATTTTATTTTAAAAATGAGCATTTTCTTTCTTTGAAAATCCCTTTTAAGAAGTTGTGTCTGTTATAAGTATATTTAAAATATTTTATATTAAAGAATGTAAAAGTATCACGAACAATTTGACATTTTAAGAAATTAAATAAATTCCAAAAATTATTAGTTATTACTAACTCCTAATTATCATATTGAATTGTTTTATGTGATGATAAACAATTATTTTTCAATGTAACTTTCTGGTTTCTTATTGTTTATATGAAACGCTTATTTTCATAACGTCTCCTGTCCACTTTTCAACTTTATCGGAAAATAAAACAAGTTTAATTGTATCATAACTTTATTGAATGCAGAAAATACAGTATTTCGTATTATAATACATGAAACCGATGAGAGTTTGTTTTCATAATCACTTTCATTGTATTGTGCAATATTACAGAATAATTAATGAAATTAGTTTGGATAAAAGACGTTTTGAAAGCAAATTTTATAAGAAAAAGATAGGCTTATTTCGAAAAAGGATTGAAAGGGAGGTTTTGCACTGAAAAGAAAAATC